AAGAAAGGTGATTGGAAAAAGGCCACGGAAAAAGAAATAAATTCATTACTTGAAAACCACACTTATGATTTGGTGAACTTGCCTAAGGGGAGGAAAATTCAGAAAAATAAGTGGGTCTTCAAATTGAAGAATGATAGCAAGAATCTAAGATACAAGACACGCCTTGTTGTGAAAGGTTTTGGGCAAAAGAAAGGTGTTTACTTTGATAAGATTTTCTCGTAAGTTGTAAAGATGTCTTCTATTCGGGTTGTACTTGGCATGGTCACAAGTATGAACCTTGAAGTTGAGCAACTTGATGTGAAAACCGCATTTCTTATGGTGACCTTAAAGAAGAAATTTACATGGAGCAATCGAAGGGTTTTATAGAGAAAGGGAAATATAAATTTGTTTGCAAATTGAAGAAAAGTTTGTATAGCCTCAAGCAAGCGTCACGACAATGGTACAAAAAATTTGGTTCTTTTATGATGAATAATAGTTTTTCTAAAATCACTTCGGACCATTGTGTGTTTGTGAAATTTTTTTCAAATGGCAAATTTATTATTCTTTTGCTTTATGTTGATGTCATGTTAATTGTGGATCAAGATTCTACCATGATTAACAAGTTAAAGTTAGAGTTGAGCAAGTGTTTTGAGTGTTTTGCTATGAAAGATTTGGGGTCGACAAATCAAATACTTAGTATGAAAATTGCTCGTGATCGCAAAAAGAGACTGATTTGGTTGTCTCAAGAAAGCTGCATTGAGAAAGTTCTTGAGAGGTTCAACATGGATAAAGCAGAGTTGATTGGTTGTCCACTTCAGGGTCACTTTAAGCTTAGTTCAAATCAATGGCCTACAAGTGAGAAAGACAAGGAAGAGACGCTGAAAATTCTTTATGCTTCAGCGGTTGATTCTTTGATGTATGCCATGATTTGTACAAGGTCGGATGTTGCTCACCCTGTTGGTGTGGCGAGTCATTTTCTTCGTAATCCGAGTAAAGAACATTGGGCAGCGGTGAAATGGATTCCAAGGTATCTTCGTGAGACTTTGAAGGCGCGTTTGTGTTTTGGGAATGGTAAGCTAATGCTTGATGGGTTCACGAATTTTGATTGTTGACTCTAAGAAATCTACTTTGAGATATTTGATGACATTTGTAGGGGGAGCTATGGTATGACAATCTAAATTACAAAAATGTGTTATTCTTTCAACTACCGAAACTGAATTTATCGCCATTACGGAAGCTTGCAAAGAAGAGTTATGGTTGAAGAAATTTTTGTAAGAGTTAGGTTTGAAATAAGAAATGTATGTGCTTTATTATGATTGTCAAAATGCTATTCATTTGAGTAAAAATTTCACTTTTCATTCGAGATCGAAACACATTAATGTGAGATACCATTGGATTCGTAATGTATTAGATTAGAACTTGTTACAACTCGAAAAGGTTCACACGGATGATAATATTTTGGATATGTTAACTAATACTTTGTCGAGGGACAAACATTTGAAGCGTCGAACTTTGGAGGGTATGGTTGATGTCTCCACCTAAGTCAGTAGGAAGAGAATTGTTGGATATACCTACTTAGTGGAGAATGAGACCCAATTAGTTTATTAAAATATTTAATTTGATTTGGTGTTAGTTATAATATTTTTTATATATTATATCTGATTTTTGGAGGCCTAGTAAGTGTTTAAAAATCAGTTTGGTGGCAATTAGGATTTTGATAAAAAAAACCCCAAGAGTTAACAATATTTTTTTATATTGTTTTTGTTTTTTCAAAAATGTGCTGCAGCTGCTATAAGATTGTTTTGTTTTGTTTTTTTCTTTCACTGGGTGTTGCGTTTCGGCTAGTGCTTGCAAGTTTTCTTTGGTTTCAATTTTTGGCTGCTTTGAAGCACTGTCTATGTGCATATTTGGCTGCTTTAGTGCTTTAGTGGAGATTGCTTTGAGTCTATTATTTTGGGTATTTTACAATCTGTTTCAAATATAATTTATTCACCTATTTTAATAATGTCTTTCCTCTTGATTATTTGAAATTCACTTCAGGTTGGTTTGTGAGGACCTAGGGGTGCTGTTGTGATTAAGTTACAGTTGCGATCTGTTGTGAGCTCGTGGGGGTTTTTTCCAAGTGTTTTTCGATGATCCGAACAATTCATATTGTAGGGTTCGTCGAATATATCATCCATAGAAAAAATGAAGTTAATTAGAAATCCGTAACCCCATGATCAGATTTAAATTGTTTTACAAAAATTTTCAAGATAATGTCAACCATTTATTTTTTTTAAAAACAAATGTGCTCTTGTTATAAAGCTATAGATTTTCAATCAATTTGATTTTTTGCATAGATGATCTATTCAACAAACCCTACAATATGAACGGTTCAGATCATCAAACAAGACTCAGAAAAAGCCTCCACGGGCTCATAGCAAATTGATGTTGTGACTTAGTCACAACAATACCCAAGGTTTGGTTTGTGAGACTATTCGTGTCTTGTTTGTAATCGTTTGAAAACTATTACTTGAAAATAAAATTAGATTTCGGTCCCGTGGACGTACTTTATATTGAGCGAATCACGCAAAATTATTATGTTGTTATTGATTTAATTTTTTCACATTAATTTTTATTTTTATTGATTGATTTACTTGTGGGAAATCATCTATTTTTCTTAATAGATTTAAATGGACAAAATGAACCCCAAGGTTAGGGCTATACTAAAGTTCATGGAAAATGTTTGGTAGCTCAAAATTTTGTGGCTCAAATGGCTCAAATCTATCAAAACGACATCGTTTTACACTCATTTACACTCAAAACGACGTCGTTTTGAGTGATTTAAACCATTTGAGTCACAAAATTTTGAACTACCTAGCATTATTAAAATTTCATATTGCAATAAGGAGAAGAAAAATTTGAGGCACAGCCAACAAACTACCACCATTTTCAAATCATTGGTCCCCCTTAATGGGGTGAGACCCTACCGAGCTCATGGCATGCATGCATGGAATGACAATTATCTTTTTTTTTTTGTTTTTGTATTTTTTCCCCCCAAAGCTATACTCATACATAAATACATGCATAAAAGAAAACCAGCGTCACTGTCCAAATCTTCTCAACATGCAAAAGGAATGCATGTTATCCACCTACCCATCTTCTAATTGACTCTAAAGTTTGAGAAATTTAAATGGTGCTTACCTAATTTTGTTTGCAATTAGCAATTTTTTTTCTTTGAAATTTTTAGTATTGATATTTAAAAGCATGCAATAAATGAGTAACCTTCTAAGAAAATCATTAATTGCACTTTTTCAGATTACCCAAACACATTATTATATCAATGATATTTCTTGAACCATCCACAGCAAAAGCAGTCAGTCTACTCATCGGCTGGAAACATCTCAATCTTTATATTATTTTGCCACTCCACTTTAGTAAAATTTTGCTACAAAACTAATTATTAAATAAATATAAAAATATTAATCACACATAAATAAAACACAAAAAATGCAGAGAAATAAGCTATCAACGACTTTGTGTGAGTTATCAAAATTCAAATTCACAGAAAAAAGAAAAGAAAAAAAATTTTAATTCAATTTCTTCCCTCACCACGAACCCTAGGTTTGATCTATGGTCATTGGGTGATCAGCCCTTACGATTTCAAAAAAGTGAAAATTATCGTTCAATAAGAAGTGAGATAAATATTTACAAAAGGGTAAGATTTTTTTTTTAGGCTGCAATTTTTATTGTGTTTTTTTTACACAGAATTATAGCCCTATGCGTTGTAATTATTTTTGGTCATATGTATTGATTTATATTTTTTCCTTCAAAAAAGTCCTTGTTAAATGTTAGTATAAATTATTTGTAAATTATACAAAATTGCTTCCTATAAATTTTAAAAATGATCAAGTGATTGCGTAATGCACACATCTATATTTTAATTATGTGTGCCCTCAATTTTAAGTACACATAACAAAGAATCACATCTATAAATATGAAATATTTTATACTTGACTAATGATTTTATTGTAATTTGTTATTTGTACATAATATTAATGGTTTCACATGCCAAATAAAAGAATGGATTATTTAATTATTTCTAAAATATTAATATGATTTATTAATTATAATGTGACAAGAAAAACACATATTATAATAAAGGTGTCACATTAATTCGTAAAGTAAAATTTTGAAATTTATTTATAGTGCTAAAAATTGGAATCACTTAAAAAAAAGTTGTAATATTAATTTTTAATTATACTTGATAAATAAACAATTTAAAAGTAAAGAAAAGATGCAGTCCAGCAAAGCAAACACAACAAATGTTTCAATGTACGAGGCACATCATAAATACAAAATCCAAGGAAAAGTCCTGTTTGGGTGACCACAAAAAAACAAAAAAACAAAAAATTGAATTACAACAAGACCCCAACTAACAAATATCAACTTATTTATCATGAGCTCGTATTTTTTTTGTCTCTTCAATTATAAAAATAGTCTTGTTGCAATTTAAATAAGTTGATAATAACTTATTTTAATTTAGAATTATGTTAGGAATCTTAAATAATCTATCAAATTTTTTATTAAATGTCTTATCATGTGATTTGTGTGGGTCTCACACCCATTTGATAAAAAAATTGAGATTTATATTTTCCTTTAGTTTAAGAGTTTGTGCCATCTTACTTGGTGCAGCTTCAACTTAAATAAGTTGATTATCTAAAAATTGAAAAATAGATGATTTTAATTTCTGTTTCCTACTTATCAACTTTTAGATTACAATAAGACTTGTTTTAAAAAGTAAAAAAAAAGAAACTAATTTATTAATTTTTTCTTAAAAAACATACCAAAAAAATAATAAAATTATATGACCTAAATAAACAAACAAACAAATAAGTTGGTTTTTTTCATATTCGAAGGCTTCAGCTGCGCCAAATAAGAGTGCTTTAAACCATTTTTTAGAAGGACTGTGTAATTGAGGGGTCAATATGATAAAATGATAGTATTCACCAATTAAGGGGTCTTGGTGTAATTAATAAAAATATTCCTCTCCCTTTCACTCCCAATTTGGTCCCTCTCTCTCGTCGTTCTCCTCAGAGTCTCTGCACACAACAGAGAAAGAGATACAGAAAGTGAAAGCACACGGGGAGAGAGAGAGAGGGGGGAGAATTAGGGTGAAGAAAACCCTAGAAGAAATGGAAAATCTCCCTCACTCTGTTTCGAAGAAATCATACAATGGCAATGGCAATGGCAATGGCAATGGCGTCAGACCTAAGACCATGTACGACGACGTCTTTGGAGGTCCTCCAAAGTTGGGAGGAGTTCCCACTCTCTGTCCTCGAGTCTCCGACTACACTGAGATTTTCAGCAATTTTCACGCCTCTCCTGCTTCCTCTATTCCGATTCTCGATCTCCCTCCTGTTAACGATGCCGACTTTTCCTTCGATGTACGCAGCTCCATTTTCGACTACTCTCAAGTATTCGGCGGTCTCAATGGTGTAGACTTCGCTGCCTCCTTCGAACAACTGTTTGAACTATCGAAAACTACATGTGATTCGTCTGACGAAGCTTGGTATGCTTTTTTTTTTTTTTAAAGCTTTTGCCTTAATTTATTTGGTCGATTATGCTGTAATTGTACAAATAATGTTAATCTGTTGTTGTTTGGCTATTCACATTTTCTTAATTTTGGGTATTCAATGGTCACTCTGTTGAACATGGTTTGTTGTAGAACAAAATATACAGGTTTGTGCAATTTTGGGTAAATGTTTTTGTAAGTGAAATCGCGAGAGTACTCAATTTGGGTTTTAAAGATTTGGATATCAGAACAAGTTAGGGGAAGAAATGCTATGGATTAGTGAAAAAACAATGGGGGTTTGCTTCTTGTTTTGGTTAGTTTTGGGATTGGGATTCGCCAAGAGGGCAGTGTGGATAGGGGGTTTTGTGATATGATGATACTCCTTGGGAAACTATAGTTTGAGAATATTAATTTTGAAGTTAGGGTTAAATTTTGTTCCATTAAGGTAGTGTTCCATTTTGAGGACAAAGCATAAACACCTATCTTGGCTTCCCACTACCTTGGTTATTGCTTTGGTAGGACCCACAGGCCCCTCGAGGCTTGGTATATCCTGGGGACACATGGCTTGATTGCTAAGAACAAGGGCTTGTTCAGGTGTCGCTGGGGACATGTGGCTTGGTGCTGTCGTGGTGGTGGGGGAATGGGTGGGGGTTGGTGAGGAAGGGTGGGAAAGGGGCTGGCCGTGGCAGTTGGTTACAGACTTATCATGTCGTGTTGCAAACTTATAGATTACAGAGAACCCAAAGGCTACTTATGGAGATTTGTCTATTTGTTGGATGTATTTTCTCTTTATTTTAATGATTCTACACAGTGTCAGAACCTTGGTTGAAGATTAAGAGGCCTAAAACACCTATCTTGTAGACTTGTGCTTGAAAGTAGTAGACCTAAGGGTTTTGATTGTAACAAGATTTATGCTTGAAAGTGGTAAATCTAGGGGTTTTTATTGTTGTGGAGTTTAAGAGAGAGATTTTAGTCGAAGAAAATGGAAAAATAGTGAAGAAAATTATTTTGTTATGAAGTAGACTTTCGAAAAGGCTTTAACGGCCAAATCGGCAACATAACGGCCTATTACTGCCATTACACATGTGGTAACGGCTACGGCAGAAGCAAATGCTTGTGATTTATTCTTCCAACTAAAGTGCATTGTATCGGAATTGGTATGTTCCCAAATTGTCATGGAATGGCATTATGTAACAGTTTTGTCCATTTTTTAAAACATTGTACATGGCACACTCGGGCAGAACTAGAACTTTTATGTAGACTGGCCAAACTAAAAGTATCAAACAAATTTAAAGTATTTAATTAAATTTTTGGATTTCTTTTTTTTTTTGTTTTGATAAATAAATTAAATTTTTAGATTTCATGAAGCAATTAGATATTTTCCCGGAAAATTAAGCACATAATTTTTTAGTGATTTGCCAAATTTTCACTCAAAAAATTCAAACAATAACAAATATGATTATATGAATAAAAAACATTTATATTCTAGCACCATAATTAAATTCATATAACCTTTTCATTTACAAAAATTAAATTCATAATTTGAACAGGCAATTTATATCGCATGTATTGTAAAAATATAGTCATAAAAAATCGAAGAAGATTAAAAATTAATAAACATACTTGATGCAGACGCTATTATTTTTGACCAATTAATACTACAAATTACTTTGCCCAAAGAGTACAAGAAATGTTCGATTACCGATGACTTAGTTTGGAGATGGAGAGAAAGCCAGGTAATACACAATGGAGACAAATACATGGATTAGAATATACTCTTTATTTGGAAAAAGTCCTAAAGAAGGAGTGGGAGAGACAGATGGGAGAGAATTTTGTTATCGAAGTGGGTTTTGATAGTATTTTACTCAAGGTTAAATTTTTGTATTTGGTAGAGATAAATTTTTATTAGAAAAGAAAAAGTGTGCATTCAATGCATATGACAGAGATACTTTTTTAATTTTATGAGTGGGGCAACACCTGTTTACACAAGATGCTTGATCTATTTTTCTGGATGCATGTTCTATTTACATGTTATAATAATCAGTATATTAGTGTGATATCCCTGCATCTATAATTTTATGGTTTTGCCACATTAGGTAATCCTTGTCTAACAATGCCTGAAACTTATTTCTATGTCAACAATGTGGGGAAAATTTTATATTGTTTGATATGGGGAAAGTTTTCTATTGTTTGCTTGCTTTTTAGTTGGAGGAGAGTGCTACATTTAGAAATTTGTGAACTTCTAAAGATGTTTCTAAGTTTGAATTTTGATTTAACAAAGAGTCACTTTTTTGATTGTTTCAAGTGGCAAATGACTAAGAATAAAACATGTTGACTGGCTCTGGCAAAAAAATCTTTTTTACATAAGGAATGTCAACCAATTGCGGAAGAAGGTCAAGAATTTAAACCAGATTTCAAATTTCAATCTGATTTTCAGGTAGACTGGACGCATGTTCTATTTACACGTTTTAATAATCAGTATATTAGTGTGAAATCCCTGCATCTATAATTTTATGGTTTTGCCGCATTAGGTAATCCTTGTCTAACAATGCTTGAAACATATTTCTATGTCAACAACGTGGGGAAAATTTTATATTGTTTGATATGGGGAAAGTTATCTATTGTTTGCTTGCTTTTTAGTTGGAGGAGAGTGTTACATTTTGAAATTTGTGAACTTCTAAAGATGTTTCTAAGTTTGAATTTTGAGTGTGCTGTTTAACAAAGAGTCACTTTTTTGATTGTTTCAAGTGGCAAATGACTAAGAATAAAACATGTTGACTGGCTCTGGCAAAAAAATCTTTTTTACATAAGGAATGTCAACCGATTGAGGAAAGAAGGTCAAGAATTTAAACCAGATTTCAAATTTCAATCTGATTTTCAGGTAGAAGTTATAACACCGAGAAAAGCATGATTTTTCAATTTAGTTATATTGATAAATTATACATTTGTACAGACAATTACAAAATGAACTTGAGGGTGTGTTTCTTACTTGGAATAACTCTTGAACCTTCAATGTGTAATGTGTTAAATCTAATAAAGTTGGAGGATTGAAGACATAGAGATGAAAAGAAGGTATGTGCCACTTTGACACCGTAAGAAAGTGTTGAAGATGATATAATTCATGTTGAGACATAACATAGGAGCATTATAGTTAGATTTGAGGCTCTTAATGTGGTATAAGTGAGTAATGGCAACATGTGAATTAAGCCTTAGTTAACTTGATCTTTTATTTATTAAAACTAACATCTGGACTTGCCTACTCAATTCAGATATTTTATAATGCAAATTGCAAATTTTTTGAAATTGATTTAACATGCATTTGTGGGTAACATCTAGAAATTTCTCTTTGTTTCAAGCAATGCACAATACTTGCTTGTCCAGTCAATTCTGTTTGAGGCTGCATTGCAGATTTGAGTTTATCTCTTTGTCTGAGCTAGGAAAAAGTGGTTCACTTACTTTTCCATAAAAAATAAAAGAGGACTTCATTAAGGTGTACATCCATTTATGTTAATTTATTAGGAGGTTTACAGTAATAAAGCTCTTTGGGAGATAACATTTGTTTGGGGTTCAATTATAATCTTGAGGTTGATTTAATATATTTTTCAGCTTAGCAATGATGCTTAGTAATGCAATCTCTATAAGAAGTATAGTGATCAATGTAATCACTGGAACTATCATTCACCAAAGTTCTTTTTGTCTATATGGCATCAAATTGGGTCAATTGGGCTTGGATTGATGATGATGATTGAGAGGTGCAGCATTTTTCTGTCCACGTGACCTTGGAATCCACCCTTCTTTGCATTATTTTCTGTTGGTTGGAGGAAGAACTTGGAACAAATGTCTGGGGGCTTAAATAATATGCCAAAGAGGCCTTTCTAGCCTAACGAAGAGTCCATCGTGAATTGTATTTTTCCATCAAATATGTCAAGAAAATGGAAGTGACTTCAATGTGAAGCACAAAAATAAAGAATTACATATTCAAGTTAATGAAAATTTATCCAGTCCCCATTGTATTAGAGGGGAATTGTAGTGAATGATATTTATCAAAAAAGAGTAAATAATGTATTATAACCCTTATAGGTCTTTTCAAGGATAATAGAACGTAAGAAAAATATGTGAAATTTATTAAAGAGGGTGGAAAGTACTCCAATTGAATTGTCTTTCATATTTCAAGTAAAGGTTTTATTTGTAATATGTGATTGGTGGTATCAACTTATCTCCTAAAAAAAGAGAAAAAGAGATTGGTGGTAAGTGTTTTGATTCAACCATGTTCATTCGCGGTAGTTACTATCTTGTCTTTGATATTTCTTATGGTCACATAAATAAGAAACTCATGAATATGACAATGATGCTTCTGTTGCAATTTGCTGTTATTGGCCATATTTGTTATAGCAATTGTAGAAATTTGAAACTGCGATGTGTTTTTTCTGTTTCCTGATTATAGGACTCCAGCTCAGAGTGAGTCTCTTTCAGATGAGTCAGACCCTTCTGCTTCTTCAGATAACTTGCCAAATGGAGAATCTCACCAGTCATGTGATGGCATTAAGCAGATCAGTATATCATATGATAAGGCTAGTCAAAGAAGCAAGGAAGATGGGTCAAGTGGGATGGCACACGTAACTCAATTACATGCTGTTCCCGGATTTACTTCCATAGTCAATGAGTCACCTTCTTCAGAAAAGATAAAGGATAGGAATACACCTTTGCAGGTAGCTGATGATATCAATCCAAAAATGGATTTTAGTGGGGGCCTAAGGGAAAGAAAACAATTCCGGAAAACTATGTCACATCCGTCAAATAGAAGTTTTGGCATAGAGACTTTGGGGACTGATCTCAAACCTGTGGGATTTGGCAAAAGTGCTTCTCATATGAATGAGACATTTGTAACTGTATCTGATATCAGCCTAAGAACGCAGCCCTCTCAGTTACCACCACCTTCAAAGCCACCTCATGTTTTAGCTGTGAACGGTGTAGATTCCGGTAGACATAAATCCAAGCTCAAAGCTTCTAAAAGTTTTGCTTTTGGAGAGACGACAGGTGACAGCTCACCATCTTTCTTTGACGTGGAGGTAGATCCAAGTTCATCTGCTGCAGTCTCTGCTGCAGCTATGAAAGATGTAATGGAAAAAGCTCAAGCAAAGCTAAAAAGTGCAAAAGAATTAATGGAGAGAAAGAAGGAGGGTCTTCAAAGCCGTACAAAGTTTGGTTTGAAAAATGAAACGAAAGATAAGGAGGGAAAAGCAAGCAAGACATTTGATGGATTCAACAGTTTTAAAGATGAGAGAGTGCACGGAACTTGTCAAAGAGATTGTAGTGGAATGAAAACTTTTGTTGGGGAGGAAAGGAAGAAAGTAATGAAGATAACACAGGTAGTTTCAGATTCAATTGAAGGGGGAAAACATATAAATGTGGCCAAAATATCTGCAGATAAAAAGAATGGGAAGGAGGACAGGTCATCTCAAGAGTTTTATAAAACCGAAGGAACTGTTGCATGGAGAGAAGCAGCAGATTTTTTTGAACTAGTTGAAATTGATAAATCCCGAAAGATCTATGAGCAAGCAAAGGATGAAAGTGTTTTAGTGCAAAGTACACAGTCCCATGAGTGTGGTCAGGAGAAAAAAGCAATTCCAGCATTTCATCAACAAGAAGACGATAGGAAAAAAAAAGCCAGTAGGGAGACTTGTGAACGGGATGGAAACGAGGGGAGATCAAAAGCAACTAAAGAGTCAAGCAGGCAAGAGGAGCATGGGAAGAAAGTAAAAGTGAACCAAGAGGTTTGTAAACAGGAAGAAACTGGGAAGAAGCCAAGAATGGTCCAACAGCATGGAAACATTGAGAAGATACTAACTGAAGCTGGTAAAAGTGAAGAATGTGACACCCTGATAGAAGTTCAACAGAAAGAGAATCAAATGAAAGTTGAAAAGAAACTAAAAGAGGCTAACGAAAGAATAGAAGATGACAAAAGACACAAAGATGCTCATGAAAGGTACGAAAATGAAAGGAGACTTAAACAAACTCTTGAGATGGAAAAATATGAAAAAAGACTTGAAGAGGCTTTTGAACTAGCAGAAATTGAGAAAAGACTAGAGGAAGCTTTAGAGCAGGAAGAAAAGGAGCAGCAGCAAAGGGAGGCTTTTGAAAAAGAAGAGAAAGAAAAGAGACAAAAAGAGGCTTGTGAAAGAGAAGAGAATGAGAAGAGAGTTAAAAAGGCTCATGAAGAAGATGAGAAGAAGAGACTTAAAGAGGCTCTTGAGCTGGAAGAGAACGAGAAAATATTGGCTCTTATGCTGGAAGGGGATGAGAAGAGACTGAAAATGGCTCTTGAGTGGCAAAGGAATGAGAAAAGGCTAGAACTTGACCTTGAAAGAGAGGAAAATGAGAAGAGGCTAAGAGAGGATCATAGGCGGGAAGAGGTTGATAGGAAATTGAAAGGTGCTTTTGAGCTGGAAGAAAGTGCCAAGAAGCAAAAAGAGGCTCATGAAAGAGAGGAAAACGTGGAGAGACTAAATGAGGCTTGTGAAAGGGAAGAGAAGAGACTTAAAGAGGCTAGGGAGCAAGATGAAAATAAGAAACGATTGCAAGAAGCTCATGAAAGAGAAGAAAGTGAGAAGAGATCAGAAGAGGCTTTCAAGCAGAAAGAAATTGAGAGAAGATATGAAGACGTTAATGTGTGTGAAAAAACTGAGAAGAGGATTGAAGATGTAGGTTATTGGGAAGAACTGAAGGTATGGAGCAAAGATCATGAGCAAAATGAGAGGGGTGAAAATGAAAGGAAGCTTAATTCTGATCAAGGAACTTGTGTGGACACAGAGGGGGAAAATCTCAAGACATCTGATGATGGGGCATGTAAGCTGGATGACCATGAGAATCTACAACCTGGTCAAGCAGCCTGTGAACAGGATAAAAACAGTGGAAATGTAGAAATGACCAAAGGGAACCTTTCATTTGAAGAGGATAGAACCATGAAGACTGAACCCATAGATAGTGTGAATACTCGGTTGGAAGCAGTTGAAGTAGTGAATGTGCTGTTTGAAGAAAAATTCAACTCATCTGGCATGACTCTAGATTACACACAACATGAAAAGAACCAAATCAATGCAAAAGATGTCATGAAGTCACATCATCTGCATGACACTGTGACAGAATCAGTTGAAGCTGGCATTGGACAAACACACGTTGACAGAAATAAGAAAGCTTTCAAAATAGCCTCTAATCCTGGGACTCCAAATGGACTCACTCATGAATTAGGAGAGAGAGGGACTAATGTTAAGGAGGTTCAAGTGACGTTTAACAAGGAAAATAGCAAAGACAAATTCATGTCATCACAAGTGGTAGGAGAGTTGATTGAAAATGGAAGGAAAATGGGAGCTGATCAGCCAACTGTGTTGGAGGGAAAAAGAAATGCAAAGAGCACAGGTCAGAAGGCTAGCACAAGCAAAAGCACAAAAAGAAAAGAGAAGAATCGTAATGATATTCTCACACCAGAGGAGAGAGAGAAAGAAGAAAGGATAAAAAGAGAAAGAGAGCTGGAAAAGGATCGCCTAAGAAAGATAGAGGAAGAGAGGGAAAGAGTGTTGAGCTTGATGTGGTCTTGGATGGCTGTTGATAGAGCAACCCTTGAAGCTCGTGAAAGGACATTTGCTGAAGCCCATGACAAGGCAGTAAGGGCTGCTGTGGAGAGGGCAACTGCCGAAGTTCGACAAAGAGCGATGACAGAAGCCCGAGAAAGACTAGAGAAGGCATGTGCAGAGGCTCGGGAGAGGTCAACAGGGGAGAAGGCATCTATGGAGGCCAGGGTCAGGACAGAGCGTGCTGCAGTAGAGAGAGCAACTGCAGAGGCTCGAGATCGTGCTTTCCAAAAAGCAATGGCTGAGAAGGCTGCTAATGAAAGATCAGTTGTTGATAAGTCCTTTGCTTCTTATAAAAATGATGGAATGAGACAAAGCTCTTCATCCTCTGTGAGTATACCCTTCACTGATGTAATTTATGAAGTGCATGCCCAACACAGTCTCTTAACTTAATGATATAATTGGCAGGATTTGCAGGACATGCAATTTCAGGGCATTCGGTCTTCCAGTGGGTCCATTTATTCATATTCTTCAGTTCATGGTGGTATGTGATTGTAAAAATTTATGTATTATTGATTGATGTTTATTGATGTTATGTTTTGGATTACAAATTACAACTTCTATAAATAGAAAAGAAAGTGGTAGTAGGTGTAGTGTAGTGGAGGTGGTAGGTGAAGTGGGTGCTAGTGGAGATGGTAGGTGTGGAGAGAAATTCTAACAGCCCCCCGCAAACTCAAGGAGGATAGGAACTAACCAACTTGAGTTTGGAGAGAGTTTACAAAACAAGAAAATACATAAAAATAAAAAAAAAGAAAATACATAAAAATAAAAATAAAAAAGATAGGGGACACTGTATGGTCGTGTCAGACCGTTGGTGAAGACTCTGAAAAGTGGTGCCATAACGTGGTAGAGGACACTGGATGGGTGTGCCATAACGGTGTAGAGGACACTGGATGGTGGCGTCATAACGGTGTAGAGGACACTGTAGGGTGGTGTCATAACGGTGTAGAGGACACTGTATGATTGTGTCATAACGGGGTAGAGGACACTGGAGGGGTGTGTCATAACGTTGTAGAGGACACTGTATGCTAACCGGAATCAAAGTCGGGACAGTTTATAGGGTCATGTCGGACCGTTGAAAAAGTTGCACACGTGGGAAGCTTTGCTGTGCTGGAAGTCACTAACACAATGAAATGAAAGTAGAGAGGTCTATCTTGTTGTTCTGCTTCTCTGTCTGTAAATGCTTGTATAGCCTGTACTGTTGTGATTATACGAATGCATGAAAAATCTTTTTGGCATACAGACTGTCACAGCTCAATGGACATTATTTATTTACTGTATTGACTTCCGCCAGGCCATGTACTCTGTTTTACTTTCTGCAAATCTTGAAACACCCGGAAACCAACCCTTCTCTGAAACACTTAGCAACTCAAAAACATGGCCTCTTCTTCCCGTCCAGTTACCCAGAACCTGCTCACGCTCTTTCCAGAACTGAACGAGCCCACAAGAGAAATAACTGGTGCGGTGGCCAGTGAACCGCAACCAAACACCTCTGGTTTTGCTCCATTGAACTTTCCGATGCGGTCGGTGGAGCAAAAAATGGCGATGCAAACTGATATTAAGGCTAATCAGTATACTCTGAAGTCATGCGTGGAAACCATGACTGCGGTTACAAATTTGTCGAACCGGCTGCAGAGTAGAACAAATGAGGTGCAGCATTTGAACGGCCAACTGGCTCTGCTCCAGCGCATGTATAAGGATGCGCGAACAGAGATAAGCGTGCTGAAGGCGGAAAATAAGGAGCTGAAACGGAAGGCCACCGTGATGTTCCGTTTTGGAGGGCCGTCATATGCTGCAGTGGAGGAGTATGGAGTAAATGTGCTCGGTGGCGGGGGAAACACGGAGGCAACACCGTCAAGGGCCGCCCAGGACGGAGGCAAAAAAAAGAGACCAGCGGCAGAGTAGGTCGGTGGGTGACCGTCTGCAGAAAAAGAAAACAAATCTGTTGTTTGTGAATGTTGGATGTTTTTTTTTTTTTTTTTTTTTTTTTAAAAGTGTGACCGGGGTTGATCCCTGAGATTAATAAAATATGTTGGTTGTAGAAATTGGTAAATTGTTGGCAATGGGTTTTTTTTTTTTTTTTTTTTTTTTTTTTTTTTTTGAAAATAATAATAAAAATAATAAATAAAACGAAGTGGTGGATAAAAATATATATATATATATATATGTTATAGACTCTAGTGGAAGGAATGATGAGTGTGGCGACAGCACATTGTGGGAAGTCTGTTAAAATAAAAAATGAGAATCATGATGTCTGTGCAGAGAGAGGGTCGGGTGTAAAAGAAGGGAATAATAATAATAATAATAATAATAAAGATAGATGAATGGGAAAGCCTGGTGGGACTTCAGAGCTGTGATTGCCGAAGAGGTCGTCTCGATGCCCTCAGTCGAATCGCTAACAACGAGAGGAATCTCTGGCACCGACTCGATTCGGGGGCCGCGAGCCAGGACGAGGGAGGGAACGGCGGAGGCCATGGCAGACGAAGCCATAGAACAATTGTCCTCCGTTATTCTGTTGATGTTGCCAGATCTCAACGTCGAGTGTGATCTTGCCACTCCTTCGAATAAGGTTTCAAGAAGGACGGCAGTCGATCTGACCTTGCCGGTGAGGGAGATCAGAGAGCGATCGAGATCGCAGAAATCGCGGCGACTGGCAGAGACCATCGGTGCTTCGATCATCCGCAACTGGCGGAGATTGAGGCGGCGTTAGAGAAGAGAGATGACGGCGTAGATCTAGATTAGATTTGCGGCGGAACTCAGACGGTGAGGGCGGCGCCACCGCGAGTGATTTTGGCTCTGTCGCCTTGCAAGATCGACGACGACGACGAAGGGAGGGAGAGAGACCGACGGGCGCGACGGAGGAGACAGAGTAGTTAGATGAGAGAGATGGGCAGTTCGGATAAGGGAACAGGTGTGGTTGATTGCAGTGTTGGAACAATTGTCTGGGTTCGGCGACGGAATGGCTCTGTTGCAGTAAGCCACTATTACCATTCAGTGACCGTTGGGAGTCGATTTTCGGAGATGGGGCTTGTGTCTACTGTTTGTGTTTGTGCTTGGACAGCAGCTGGGGAGGAAGCACATGCAGAGTGATCAAGGTATGTGTAGAAAATAAGCGGAATAGGTTGAGGTCCGGCGGGCGGCCAAGGCGAGGTTGCCGCCCGCCGGTGAAGCGAGAAATACTAAGGTCTTAACCTTGCTCTGATACCATGTAAAAATTTATGTATTATTGATTGATGTTTATTGATGTTATGTTTTGGATTACAAATTACAACTTCTATAAATAGAAAAGAAAGTGGTAGTAGGTGTAGTGTAGTGGAGGTGGTAGGTGAAGTGGGTGCTAGTGGAGATGGTAGGTGTGGAGAGAAATTCTAACAGTGATAAATGAAACATGTGCTATAATTCTTTTGCAATGTGGATTTATGTTTTTTTTTTTATTAAATCTACTTTTTCATCGACCTTCCAACATTTTTCTGCTTTATGTATAGCCTAGGTATTTTTATTTATTTATTTATTTCTGTATGCAGCTTCTGAGAGATTTGTGGGAGTTGAAGGTGAATCAGCTCGGAGGTGTAAAGCTAGGTTAGAGAGGCATCAAAGAACTGCTGAACGTGCAGTATGTGCCTTCTTTTTCCATTTTGTTTTTCATCCTTTCATGAATTTTGTGATATGTCATCTACATCCAAAATTATGAACTCAAAACAATTCCCGTCACTTTTTCAGGCTAAGGCTCTAGCAGAGAAGAACATGCGTGATCTTATTGCTCAAAAGGAGCAAGCAGAGAGAAATGTAAAAATCTCTCCATCAGTGTGACTTTTGGAACCATTAACTAGCTTTGCATTTTTTGTGGCTCATATCAATAGATATGCTTGCAGAGATTTGCTGAAGCTCTCGATGCTGAAGTGAAGAGATGGTCTGGTGGGAAAGAAGGGAACCTGCGTGCATTGCTTTCAACACTGCAATATGTATGCAAAAATATCCTCAATCCTTCTTGAACATTTAGCTATGATACTTGCATAAAATATGAAAATATTGCTTTGGATGTAGTTTCTTATGAAGTCACAATGTGAACTTGTCTGGGGTTCTGGTTGTTTAGTGTGTTTGAAAGTGTGATGAGATGTGAATTTCACATTGGTATTGGTAAAGCATGCCTATGTGCTGAAATGAGTCTGGGACTATTTAAATCAACTGATTGATTAGTTCTAGTCTTCTGAATATTTGCACTTTTCTGCATTGATAGCAGTTCCCTGTTCTAGATTGCTAGGCTTTTTCCTGGTTGCCTGGCAGAAATATCACTCTTGAATACATATTCAGATGCATACATCAAGAAAACTTAATCCACTGAGGTTATTAATATAGAGAAATCACCGGGGAAAAAAAAAAAAAAAAAACTCTTGTGCTACTTCACATCTGCATTGAACTACTGGCCATATAGATTTTGCTGCTGACACAGAGTATCTTTTGCATATGGCATACCCCTCGTCCGAAAACTGGGACCTGGAATTCAATGTCAATTATTAACTGTGATAATTCTCATTCAATTATCTGCCATTAGATACAATCACCATCTTTCATGTTTCTTCCTTGTTCATATTTGTAGTTCTATAAGATGATCACAATTGTCCAGTCTCAGAAAATAGATCATAGTCCTCACTTGGTTATGCTGATTGATCCCTTTTTCTATAATTCTCTATAAACTTACGCTCTGAATTACATTTTCTATGATGTCAGATCCTTGGGCCAGATAATGGTTGGCGGCCAATTCCGTTGACTGAAGTTATAACTGCTGCGGCTGTAAAGAAAGCTTACCGGAAAGCCACTCTATGTGTTCACCCTGACAAATTACAACAAAGGGGTGCAAGTATTCAGCAAAAGTACATATGCGAAAAGGTTTTTGATCTTCTAAAGGTATTCGGCAAAAGTACTGGCTTCCCTTTCTTCTATTAATTTGATTCCTGACTACATGTTCTAAAAACTAAGAAATTAATTATTTTTCTATGCTACAGAAAGCTGAAAGTGACAGTAATTAATAATTTGCTTTCGTGGCTTCCATAATTGCTAGCCTAATTTAGGATGTCCATGAAATGGATTCTTGCTCCCAATTGACCAATTCAAAAATGTTTTTTAAAATTTTAGTGTTGAGCTTGATGTGGTCTTGTTGCCTTGTTATTTTGGTATACCTTTACTTTCTTACTCTACATCTATTATTTGAATTTCTCATTTTACTTGAACGATATTTGTACTTAAAAAATGTACTCATTGCTTCTGTTTAAATGCTGGTTTCATATGCAATGTTCATATTTTCACACCAGTCTTCAGATGGCATGTTCTATTGCTTGTGGAAGTGGAGGCCATAATTAAGGAATGTGGTGCCATGATCATTTATTTGATGTTATGCCTTATGCACATGAAACCCAGTTATGACATCAAAATTTAAACTGTGAAAGTGATCCTTACTTGAATTTATCGTTGTTCTGTTATTACTATTTGAATACCAGAAAATTAAAAAAAGTTAAAAGGATAAAAAATTAACACTGAAACAGTCCTGGCAAGGAATTCTACAACATTTGCACTTATTGATCATCTTGACAATCCCTACTTTGGTTATGACCATATAATGCTAGGAGTAATTTTGTCCCTCTTTACTTTTTGGGTGGATAGATTTTCTAGTTTACTAAAAGGAGAGGAATGTGGGCTGATATTTTCCACGGGCTTCATTTTACTCCCAAACAGATTGCAGGATTAGCATCGTGTTGTGTTGCATTGCCCTTGAATTCATTTTCATCTCTTGCTCAAAACAAAATGTTTGGTCTGAAGCAACAAACATTTGTTTGATGGTCATTGCGTACTCGTGTTTATTATCTTTGTTTTTATGCATCATCAGGAAGCTTGGAACAGATTCAACTCGGAGGAGCGGTAGTTGAGGCCTTCTGCTGAAGGGTGCAGAGCTGTAGTTATACTGCTGGCTAGTAAGTATCTCTACATACTGCCCAAATATTTTCAGTTCTATCTTTAGGTTATGAGTGTAAGCTTAAGCTTCAAAGAGATTGGCATGAAAGAGAGGTTATCCTCTTTCATTGTATCATGATTTAGACCAGAGGCTTCAATGTTCAGGTAATTCATGTATATTTTATTCTGTTTCACTTGTAGGTTTAGGAATGTTAGTATGTTTCTGGTTTCTATTTTAGTTTTCAAAAAATCTTGAAATTTGGAAACAAAAATACCTTTAAAGAAGGCAATGTTTCAAAATTTACAAAATTTGAGGAAACGAGAAAAATGTGTTTTCATTTGTTTCGAAGATTAGTTTTCATTCTCTTTCTTCCCCACTACTATTGCTCACCACCTACTATCGGCCACCCATTGTTTTTTGTGTTTATGCATTTTGAAAATGTGTACTAAACATGTCTTTTATTTTTATTTTTTTACAAATAAATTTTATTTATTTATTTTATAATAATAATAAAAAAGAAACTAACGTAAGAATTTAAGTACATGCAATGGCCCTTTCTCCCCCTCCCCCCAAATATATTTAGTAAATAATGTATAGAATTTTTCTTTTTCTTTTTCTTTTTCTTTTTTAGATTGGGTATAGAATTTAAATTAATAGTAATAAACTTTAATTGAAATCATATCACTATTCTGATTTAAATTAGTGTTCATTTTGGTTTGAAATGGCAGTTGTTGATTTCTTGAACTGTTTGAAATGGCAGTTCGTGACCAGCTTTTCCAAACAAATGTTTTTGTGGGTTTATTTGGCAACCAAAGTTTCTGAAAGTTGAAGAGTTGAAGATTATTCCAGTTTTTTTTTTTTTTTTTAAAAGAAAAAAGAGAAAAAGTTCAGGCTTATCTTTTAGGAAAAATTATTGAAACATTTCTCTCTAACTTTTTGTAGTAGGAGAGGTCCAAGATTTTTTTTAGGAGCATTTACACACGTCTTAATTTTTAACTTATATTCCATTAAGTTCTAATTAAGGTTTTTTGAACATTTAAGTCCCATTAAATAGTTAATAATCGGAGTAATCTTTTAAAAAATGATGATTTGACATTTATTTTGATTTTCAAAATTGTAAAATATCAATTTTCAAATTGAAAAACTAAAAAAAAAAAATTATGTGCAAAAAAATTGAATTATTTTTGTGTAAAATTAAAAATTGTGTCTATAAAGGAGCATGATGTTGGAACATTGATGTGCAAAATTGGAAGAAAAATTGAAAAAATCAATAATGTTCTCATTTTGAAAATCAGAAAACATTGATAATGTTTTCAGTTTTATTGGATAGTTGAATTGAATCAATAAGTTGAAAAGTAAAAACATTTAATCTCATGCTCTGTTTTTTTTTTTTTTTCTTCAATTAGTGAAATAATTATTTGGTACATTTACTATACAAAATTGATAATGTTCTTAGTTTTAAAAATTAGAAAAAGCTGATAATATTCTCACTTTTACTAAATATGATTTATTAGTTCAAAAAAAATCTTAGATATGGCATAAGTTACCATAACATTTGTAAATAGGATTTTTAGGTAATTAATTCTTTTTTTTTTAGTTAAGGTCCCTCAATATTTTTGCAGAAAATTTGACTCAGAAAAATTTTGCCGGATTCAGGGAAATTTCACTCGACTCAAAGAAATTTTGGCTCTATTTTTTCTGATATGATCACAGAGAAATTTCGATTTTTTATTTTTTTATTTTTTTGTGAAACCGGAGAAATTTTTTTATAAAAATTGAAATTTCTTTGAGTTAGAACAAAATTTCTCTGAGTCGAATTTTTATTGTAGAAATATTGAGGGACCTTAATTATTATGAAAATATTGTATGTCATTTATTTTATAAAATTTTAATATCAAGGATCTTAAAAAAAATAAGAAAATATTATTTTGCTTTCCAAACTTTTAGGCGTTTTTCAATTTGATCTATAAACTTTGATTAATATCAATTTTATACCAAAATTTTTAAAATTTTGATTAATTTGGCTTCCGTTGTCACATTTTATCTACAATTGGACAGAATGTGTTGATGTGACATCAAAATTTATTTAGAATTTCATTTTATCTTCCAAATTATACCTTAAAAATCAATTTACTTCCCAAATATAAAAAAATTAAATTTAAATATTTTTATATCTCAATAATGAAAAAAATTAAATTTCAAATAACATATACTTTGCAATATATATATATATATATATAAATTCTCATTTAGAATTATCTTGAGACTATGAAACATGAATAATTCAACAAACATGTTGTACTTGTACTAAGTACTTACTTATGTATGATATTTTTGTATACGTACCGGGTACACAAAACACGTATTTAAATTTTTCCTTCTTAATTTTTGGCGTATCCAAACATATTTAGTGTATATTCAAGCTGTGCCGTACTCCAGTCAAAATAATATAGTATATATTTTTAATACTATAAAGATAAAATTCCTTTTACTACATTTCTTTTTCATTTTTAGTTTTGTACTTAGTATGATTTTAAAGTTAAGTTATGGTTTCAAAGTTAGTTAATATTATGATATTTAATTTTGGTTTATTTTATACCTATACTTTTGATAGTAAATGTCAATTGTATGTTGGGTTCAACAAATTAAACAATTAAATCAATTTTTGTATTATTTCAAATTAAAAATGAATATTTTTTTACAAACGTATTAAGTCGTACCAGTATTTGTATCTTACTTTTATTTGGATTTTACCATGTCAACATGCCCGTATCCTACTAATATCAGTATTCATACCTATACATGTGCTTCATAGGTCTCAAATTATCTCATGTCAATCCGGAAGAAACTTTGAGTGCGAAATTTTTTTGGCTACTCTATGTGTGCGCGTGCGCACAATATCAGTATTCATTTTATCTACAATTAACTAGTTTATATCCTACCAATAATTCATGTACTCGGATGTCCCCCCGGACGTTCGGCCTGTTGACTGGAACAGTGTTCATATTTTTTTATTTTTTATTTTTTTTTGCACTTGTTATTTTTATATTTTAAATAATTTTTTTTTAAAATTAATTTTTTTTTTATGAGTTTTGAATAGAAAATTAAATTATTGTCATATTACTCAATTTAAAAACTCTTTTCAAAACTCATTCACAAAACAAATTTTTTACACTCAAATTATAATTTTTAAACTCACAAACTCAAAATATAACTTATATTCTCAAATTATATTTAGAAAACTTTAACAAACGCACCAAATATTTTCATTTCATTCACGTTTCTTTACCTCCGCACAACTCTCCTCAGGTTATTGATCCACATACAACATTAGGATCTATTTTCTGCATAACTTTATTATAAGTTGAGAGCTAACAATAACCCATAAGTAGAATTTTAAAAGTAGTGCTGTTATTAGCCTTTCATGAATTATTTTGGACCATTTAATTTTTAAAATAATAATCTTACATAAAATTATTAAAAAAGATATCATTAATTTTGAAACACCCCATCTCACAATTAAACTTACGCATTCACAACATCATGAATTAGAGTTTATGAGAGCACCCACCTGGAATATAGGTCCAAACATGAAAATTTCTTAACATTGAACAGCCAAAATTGTTAACGCTTGTAGAAATTTTCATTTTTTCAAGTTCAGGAATACAGGCTCGAACATTACTTATTTGTTCGGGAACTTCTCGAACAAATAAGTATTGTTTGGGAATATAGGTCCAAACATGAAAATTTCTTAACATTGAACAGCCAAAATTGTTAACGCTTGTAGAAATTTTCATTTTTTCAAGTTCAGGAATACAGGCTCGAACATTACTTATTTGTTCGGGAACTTCTCGAACAAATAAGTATTGTTTGGGAATATAGGTCCAAACATGAAAATTTCTTAACATTGAACAGCCAAAATTGTTAACGCTTGTAGAAATTTTCATTTTTTCAAGTTCAGGAATACAGGCTCGAACATTACTTATTTGTTCGGGAACTTCTCGAACAAATAAGTATTGTTTGGGAATGCAGGTCCGAACATGAAAATTTCTTAACACATTAAATGGTCAAAATTTTTAACACTTGCAGAAGTGATCGGAAGTAGTCTAAATCCATTATCAGTTTCAAAAGTTATTCCTTCATCGAGTAGCTTTGATAATATTACTGTGCAGTTCTCTATTAAACTTACAATTTTATAATATCTACTAACAAAACCAACCGAACCAATTATTATAAATTTTTTTCTACAAGAGAAGAAATTATTACGAGAAAACTAAAAAATTATGTATATATATATATAGAGAGAGAGAGAGCATACCAACTGTGACAATGGTGGATGAGGCAGCAGAGACAGTAATCACATTGATTCTTCTTTTTCTTGGTGGGTTTTGTTAGGATTTTTTGAAAGATGGATTTTTTCGGGGTGAGGAGATGTGGGGGGTGTGCATTCAATATGTGAAATATTTATTTGAGGGGAAAAAAGTAATTTTGAGGGTTTCAAAATTTATAATTAGGGACCCAAAGAAATTAGGAGTCCAAAATAATAGAGTGCTAATAGCACACTCTTTAAGAAATCTTTCTTAATACTTTAGAATAATCAATTTATTTATTATTAAAAAACTTATTTTAATTAATTTTTTTGTGATAACTTAACAAGCAATCTGACACGGAATTACAAAATAAAAAACATATGTAAGTAGCTCTGGCGGGTCATCGGAGCTGCAACAAACATCACTTCAATTCAAGCACTTGCGAACATCATTTTAATGGTAACAATTCACTTATGTCTTCAAAAAAATTAAAATTAAAATTATTTTTTTTTAAATTTTTTTTGAAGACAAGACATATTGTTATGATTATCAAATTAATTTAGAATCATTTGTGTATTGTTAGGCAGAAAATAAAGGGGAGTAAAAATTTAGTATAACAATGATACCGATGATGTAATATCATTAACAAAAATAAAACTACATGATATGGAGACTCAACCCCATTTTTAGATACAATTACCTTGCCCTATATACGTGAGAGGGTAAATAACAATAAATTATTAGATGGTGTTACCAATTACATTGGATATCCCCATTGTATTAAAGTTTTTTTTCAATAAAAGGGGTAATTTTTCTCTGCAAAAGTGTTGTATTAAAGTGTTTTTTTTTTTTTTTCCCAATAAAAGGGATTATTTTTCTCCGCAAAAGTATTCGCAAAAGACAAGTGAAAAGTATCTCAAGATTTTGCGACGAGAGTTTTGCTTTGAAACAATAAGTTTAAAAATACAAGTTATTTTGTTGGTTGGTTAATTAGTCACATTTTATTCATGAAATGACTTGAATTGGTATTAATCTAGTCGGAAATATTATTCTATTAGATCAAATGTATTTATTTGATCTAATAAGTCCCTCCTGTCAAAATTGAGAAATTTTATGGATTGGATATTTAATATTATTTTATGAAAAATATTTGGTAGCTCGAATTTGAGTTTGCCTAAATTATTGCCGGTTGACAGTCCGAATGATTCCCCAAACGATCGGGGCAACACTTGTCTACCGCTGTCATCTTGTTGCTGGATGACTGACCGGACGACCGGCAAACTAAAACTCCGGTCATTCGAAGAAACTCAAATTCGAGCTATATAGCATTTATTTATCATTCTTGTCTACTATTTAAGCAAAATACAGTCACACATTTTACTAAGAGAATACCAAACCTCATTGTTATCGATATATTATTAAAAGGCAAGGCACCAATACACCGAAACAATCACCACCCCACCATACAAAAACATAAAAAACAGAGAATTGAAAGTTGGCAAACAGAGACTTCGAAGAGCTTTTCTTTTCTTTTCTTGGTTACTCTTTTATATTTAAACCTTGTTGCCATTAGTTTTCTGCAAAAGAGTGAGGAAGCAAACCCTTCTCTCTGCAAGTATCAATGGCTCCTCTGAACATGTCCTCCAAGCTATACTTGAATTCAAACCCCATTCCTATCAACTTCTTCGATGAGAACGACACAACTGGCAAGTCCTTATCTATCCCCTTAAACCTGTCACAAGCCACACCGTTTAAATTGCATTAACTACTCAGTTTTTGGTGTTTGGTTAGAAGGGAAAAAAAAATTAGAAAATGTTCCTGAAAATTAGAAAATGTCCCTGAAAGCTAGAAAAATGCATGGAGAAATGTAATTCATAATCAGTTTCCTACTTGGACATAATCATGAAAGAATTAATGAAGATAAATTATATCTTAGCTTGTACCTAGTGAGATGTAACGGTGAAAAAAACAGAAGATATATAGGAATCCTAAAAAATACGAGGCTACAATATTTTTGGATGATCAAAACTTAGAAAGGAAAAGAGAACCTTATTAGTAATCTAATACGCAAAATATTCTGATTCAAATCTTTGCATTATTGAAGAATCTTACCCTTTGTTAACAATTTTATCATTGTAAATTTATTATTACCCACTTGAGTTTACCTTTACCATGGAAGGTGTAGGTAGTAGATTTGTTATCAAATTGGAAAAGTAATTTCAAATAATGAAGAATCACTCTTCTATTTTAATCAGTAGAATTAAGGTGATTTGAAATCAAATTTTTATTCTTTTTAACATTTATGTCATCCAATTTTTTTTTTTGGGTTTAAATTTTGAGTTAAAGAAGGGGCAAGTGGGTAAGGATTCGAATCCTCTGTCTCACTCTCTTTATTCCTTTTGTTGTAAGTTTCTTCTCTCTCACAAGATCAGAGTCAAAGAAATAGATCCAATGATAAAAAGGATGTTTGGAATAGGGAGACATGAGAGTGGGACAGAGAATCCTTAGCCAATGGGCAACCGGATCCTCTGTCTCACTTTGCATAACCTTTGTCCCAAGTTTCTTCTGTCTCACTTTGCATAACCTTTGTCCCAAGTTTCTTCTCTTTTACAAGATTAGAGTCGGAGAAATAGATCCAATAATAAAGAGGATGTTTGGGATAGGGAGACAGGAGGGAGTGGGACAAAGAATCCTCATCCGGCGTGTAAGGGGTAGAGAAAGAAGAGAGATAGAGAGGCTCACTCAGTGGGGACATTGTACTCGGGCCATTTCTCTCTCATCAGTTTGGCCAAATCATGGATGGTAGCATCATGGGAGGAGCAAATGTATCTGCCCTCAGCCTGAGGACGCTCATACAAGAATATATGAGATTCACAGAGATCATCAAGGTGCACAAACTGCCCTTGCTTTATGATCGAGTAGTGTCCTTCATTCCCTGCACCCAACAAAAAAATTATGATACAAAAACAATCATATTATCATGATCAGTTTATGGACACAAAAATGGTGATTGTGGAGGGAGAAGTGTATACATACTAGTGATGGGGGAGAGAGCAGTGATTAGGCTTGGTGGGAATGTTGGCATTATGAAAGGTCCTACAACTAATGTAGGGATGATACTAATGAAATCAATGTTGTTCTCTTTTGCTGCTTCCCATGCTGCTTTCTCTGCCAATGTTTTTGAAACAAAATACATCTGCAGAGACAGTGTAGAGAGACCATCAGAACCATCTCATATGACTATTGTTATTAAGAAATAGCACACAGAATTCTCTGTTCCAAATCTGGCCCTTTCTTTGAATTATTTAGGTCCTGTTTTCTAAAAACACAAAACAATCTTATCATTAAAATTTTATTACATCTACATGCGGCTAAATATGATTCATTGCTCAAAATTTAATGGTAATGGGATCATTTTGTGCATGTCCAATCATGCTTCGCTGTATGTGCATTTATTAAGAGTTTTAATAAGATTGTTTGTGTTTCCCGATTAACTCTTATGATCTTTGTAAAAGGCCACAAAAAAAATTCTCCATGTTTAAAGGTACAAAATAAAACTTCTAATAGACTGAAACTGTGTTTAAATCATATATTTGGATAGAAATTTGAAAGAAAAAAAGGAAAAAGAAAAAAGAAAAAATGTGGGTGAAATGTATACCCAAATTTATAATTTAAATACAGCCTAAATAAGATATTTCTGGCTTGACCAAGCAAGAAAACAACTTCCTTAATTAAAGACCTAATAAAATAAAATCTTCGCTATTGAAAGGTCCCCAATAATAATACATAAATATTATTTTAATTAACATTTTATAAAATAAGATCATCCCTTTAAATTTTTGACTAGGGCCATGTCTTAAGCTATTTCTCTATCATCAAACAGATTAGTTAGAACATGAGAGCAGGGAAAATCGGAACAAAAGATTTGGTCTCAAGAACAGGGTACTTAATACAATTTTTTGAATGAAGACCTAATATATTTATCAGAAACATAATAATACTAGTAAAGAAGTAGAGATGGAAAATATATAGTAAGTAATAATACTAACCCAGCCAGTCATCTTCTTCTTATTGATGAAATCCAAGTCACTCCAATTGTTCTCGTCGAAAACGGGTTGTTGGTGTTCCTGGACATTAACAGTTCCAGCAGAGGATGTGAACACCAGCCTCTTCACTGTCTTAGCTTTGGTGCATGACCTTATGATGCTCAACACACCGTTGATTGTCGGCTTGATTACCTCATTCTGCACATTTTCACAAAAATGAAAACCACAGAGACTCAAGTTTTTAGGTTAATTTCTCGGTTGAAATCACATAAACTGCTAGATGATGATTCAAGCAAGGGAATGGTAGGTCAAGTCCAGTGGCAGTGTGTTAATTTCTCTGTTGAAATGTTTTCAAATATTCAAAGTTGTTTTTAGCAGTATTCTCCATTATTCCGGACATAATCTCCATCCCGTTTTTAATAGATCTTAGGTCCGAGTCCTTGTTTCGCCTGATATGTGAGACTAGCACGTGGTTGCACTTATATGAGGTTTTACCTCGAGCCTCACCAAAGGTGGGTCAAAGTGTTCCTCGCTATTGAGAAAAAGAAAAATGTTTGGTGATCACAATATTCGCGGCTTAAATGGCTTGAATTGATTAAAACGATGTCGTTTTGTGTTGTTTTGTGTCCAAAACGACGTCGTTTTGATAAATTCGAGCTATTCGAGCCTGGAAAATTCGGACCCTCTATCATTGCTGTGAGAAAAATTAGTAGGATAGGTACATCATACTTGGCTCGAGTCCATATTGAATAGATTAAACGGCTAATTATATGAGCATCCCTCATTTATGACTGAATATCACTTTAAGGCTTGGTTTGAAAAGTGGGTTGGTTTTTTAGTTTTTTGACTTTTTTAATTATTTTAGTCTGGGTTAAAAAATTTGGTTTGAGAAGGATTTTTTGACTTTTTAACTTTTTTGGATTTTTTTGTGAGAGAAGACTGTAATGATTATGGGTTGGATGTGATGTTTTGTTTTTTGTGGCTAAAATAACATATTTTGTCTTTTGTTGCTAAAATAGCCAAAAAAAGTCCAAAACCTAAGTTGCCAAACAGAGGCTAACTCTCCTTTCAATTTTAAAATTGTACATTTAAACTCATCTATTGTGAAAATGAATAAAAACAAAATTGTACATTCAAACTCATTTATTATAAAAAAAAAAAAGAATAAATACCTATAGTGAAGAGATTGGAGTCTACACGTACAATATTAAAAGGGTAATGCTAGGGATACCAAATTTTCTACTAAACAAATGACCAAATGTCTCACATGGGTGTGGGGTCCGCAATTTTGTGGGCCCCACACCCATGTGAGATATTTGGTCATTTGTTTGGTAAAAAATTTGGGACCTCAAGCATTTTCCATATCAGCAATGCTAGGTATCATGAAAAGTCTTTCATGAAAATGATCATGAAAGACTTGTGACTTTTGGATTACATTTAGAATAAAGCACCACACACTAATTAAGGTAATCTAAGGGTCACAAATTTTTCATGAAAAAAATTTCATGATAACTAACATTTCTCTTTCCATATTAAAATTGAAGGATAAACTAATGACATTTAGTGCTAATTAATGAAGGATAAACTAATGAGATTGGAGTCTAAACGTACAATATTAAATTTGAAGGATAAACTAATGACATTTAGTGCTAATTAAAGAGATATTCTTGTAATTAATGTTAGATTTTGAATCAGTAACGTGCAAGTTGTTATAACCCACTAAACACTATTCTCTTTCAAATTTTTTTTTTTTTTTCCACTCAAAATATCAAGACTGGAATTTTCTTGATTTTGTAAATAAAAAAGTAGAGGAACTAATTTGAGGTAAAATATTTTCCTTGGATTCCTTAACCCCATTTTTAGAATTACAAGGACAGTTCTCTTCATGAATGAGAACTATTTATTGATTTATTATTAAGTCAATCAAGACTATTATTCAATATTTCCTTATAAATTGACTTGGCTAGCCTACCAAAGATTTTTTAACCATTTTTGTTTTTGTTGTCTTCTGTTTCCCAAGTAGTTGCCACCTTTCTTTTGGCCTATTATTTATTCTAAGGGGGGACCCTATTATCAAGGAAATTCTTAAAACAGTTTTTGTGAATAAACAAAGATTTTGCAATGAACCTTTAAGCCTCCGTTTGGGAAGTGGGTTGGTTTTTTGGCTTTTTGGCTTTTTTGGCTATTTTAGCCTGGGCTTAAAAGCTTGGTTTGGGAATGGCTTTTTGGCTTTTTGGCTTTTTTGAGTTTTTTTGTGAGAGAAAAATGTAATGATTATGGGTTGGATGTGATGTTTTGTTTGTTATGGCTAAAATAGCCTATTTTGTCTTTTGTGGCTAAAATAGCCAAAAAAGCCCAAGAACCAACTTGCCAAACAGAGGCTAAAAGAGCTAATAGGAGGATCACCCCTGTTTTTCATCACCCAAAACAAAAACAGGGTGATACTGGATTTTGATTTCTTCAATTTCTTTTAAAAGAATCATATTTAATGCACTATATTTAAAATTCAAGTAATGCTGTGTTTGGTTGAGGGATTTGGGAAGGGATTTGGAAATGAAAATGGAAAAGGTAGGTGAAATGTAAATAAAAATGCCTATATTTCACCTACTTTCACACACCTTTTCCCTTTTCCTTTTCAAATCCCCTATCCAAACACAGCATAAAACTATCTCATTTTTCAGTGTGCAATTCTAATGTTTTTTTACTTTAATTTTAATTCAAACAATTATATACTTTACGGACAGGTATACAAGACTCCCCTTAAAATACAATTTACAACTATAGACTACATCAAGTGACAATGAACTCCTCATTATTGTAATGAAGCCACTCTTTTGTGTTTTGTTTTGTTTTTTGTTAATCAATTAAAGAAAAAAATTCTGTATACTTCTATGATCAAATTATGTTATCCAAAACAAATTTGAGTAAAAGGTGAGTGCATATTTTCAATTTTGCAATTGAATTCATACATGGGTTATGTGAAATATGTGTTGTAAATTGCACAAATATTGAATGTTTTTTTTTTATTTACCTCAGGGTCCTTAGACTCAAAATCCATAGGTGTGGCAACATGAAACACTCCAGAGCAACCCTCAATGGCCTCATCAAAGCTCCCTTCTTCATTCAAATCCGCCTTCCACAGTGTCAAGTTCGTGTCAGCTTTCTGCAAGTCTAACAAGTGCTTCACCTTCTTTAAATTCGCTGCACCGCCACATCGCCACCGCGGTTCAATTTTCAAAATAACATATCAATACCATTCTAAAAAAAAAAACTTAAATTTTTTTTCTTGTGTTCAAATTAATGAAAGAAATAACCGGGTTTGAATACCTGGATCGCGAACGGTTGCACGAACAATATAGCCGCGTTCGAGCAGCCTCATGACGAGCCACGAGCCGATGAATCCAGCGGCTCCGGTGACACACACGGTGCCCGGTGCGGAGGCTGTGGCAGAAGCAACAGAGTCTTTCATGATGGGATTAAAATGTGAAAAAATTGGGAGTACAAAAATTTTAAGAGAGGACAAGTAAAACACAAGTGGTAGGATTGGTATTAGTGAAGATTTTGATATGGTTGCGATTGGGATTATATTGAGGGAATTTGCAAATTATAGTTGTGTATATATAAAATAAAGTGTAAAGAAAGGGCGCTCTGTATCAGTCATTTTGACGTTGTTGTGGCTAGGAAAGCACGTGCTCCACTTACCATTCCACTTAAACTAAACCCCAAAACCAGACTCGATGGAAGAATACTAGGAGCTGCCCACCTCTACTTATACTTCTACGTCCACTTTCACCACATTATGATGTGATTTCTGGGCCCCACATATGAGCTTTATCCATGTGGACCCTTCTCTATATATTTTATTTCCAAAAAATTATTGATGAGTATTGAGATATCACGGAATTATATCTCAGGATAATTCTAAATTTTTATGTCTCTTCATATTTTTCAATCTCCTAACGCAAAATAGTAAATCTTATTTCCTCCACTAACGACAATACATGTGAAGTGTCACGTGATATTGCTCCTGGACTAATCAATAATTTCTCTTTATTTTGTGCTTCTCTTGATCTACATGTACGATTACATGATATTCTATGATAGTATGATTGGTGAAAAAAAGTGAAATATTAATTATTTATATTAGGTGGTTGAAGAATATTAATAAATATAATACATAGTGATAAATGAAAGAACATATCCATGTGATACTCCAAAACTATTATATAATTTTTCTCCACATTGATCATCTTAATAGTTTATTTCGTAAATTTAGTAATAAACATGATTGGTGTAAAAAAATCAGTTCCATTGAATCACAGATTATATATATATATATATGATTAAAATGAATGATAACTGTGAATTCAAATTTAAATCGTCTATTTTCTAAAATGAGAAAAATAGATTATATTTTTTTTCTTTTTAAATTTATAATAACTATGAATTTGAACTTAAATAGTTTATTTTATAAAATAAAATATTATTTATTTATTTATTTATTGATATTTAATGAAATTATTATTATTTTTTGTATAAATAATTTTTATTGTGAAATTTAGAAGATAAAAAGTGTAGATCATATTAAAAAAACAAATGAACCATAAGAAGGAAAGAAAATAAAAAAATCCTATATATAAGGTGATTGTTCAGTATCTTCGGGTATGAACACGTAGTGCTCCATAAGATTTTGATTGATAGAGAGGAGTAGAGACCCATAATTTATGTTGGGGATAGAAAAATAACATAAAGTTAAAGTAATTGATAATTGACTTGAAATATAATCACGTGATATTTCGAAATTATTAAATAATTTTTCATATATATATATATGAATAAAGCTTGGGACCCCCAGTGGGGGTGCTGGGGTCCATTGTGATTGGTTGAAAAAATTGTTTTTTTTTTTTTTTTTTTTTTGGCCATTAGCAGCCCCCATGTGGCACTGGGGGATGCTGGAGGTGCCAAAATGCTGAGGGTCTCTACCATTTATATATATATATGCGTGCGCCCCCGTTTGAAAAGCGTTTTGGTCACGAATAACGCTACTTTTGGAGAATTTATATAAATAACCTTCCAAAAAATGATGTGATGTAGACATTATTAAAATTTGGTATTTGGATGGATTTTTGATGAGTATTGAAATATCATGTGACTATATCTCAAGATAAGTATAAATTTTTATGCCTCTTTATATTCTTTAATCACCTAACGTAAAATAGTAAATTTTATTTTCTCTACTAACTACAATACATGTAAAGTGTCACGTGATATTGCTCATGGATTAATCAATAACTTCTCTTTATTTTGTGCTCTTCTTGATCTACAAGTACGATTACATAATATTCTATGATAACATGATTGGTGAAAAAAGTGAAATATTAATTATTTATATTAGGTGATTGAAAAATATTAATAAATATAATACATAGTGATAAGTGAAAGAATATATTCACATGATACTCCAAAACTATTATATAATTTTTCTCCACATTGATCATCTTAATAGTTTATTTCGTAAATTTAGTAATAAACATGATTGGTGTAAAAAAATCAGTTCCATTGAATCACAGATTACCACATTGATCATCTTAATAGTTTATTTCGTAAAAATGAATGAATGATTAAAAATGAATGATGACTGTGAATTCAAATTTAAATCGTCTATTTTCTAAAATAAGAAAAGCAGATTATATTTGCTTTTCTTTTTAAATTTATAATAACTATGAATTTGAACTTAAATAGTTTATTTTATAAAATAAAATATTATTTATTTATTGATATTTAATGAAATTATTATTTTTTTTTGTATAAATAATTTTTGTTGTGAAATTTAGAAGATAAACAGTGCAGATCATATTAAAAAACAAATGAACCATAAGAAGGAAAGAAAATAAAAAAACCTTATATATAAGGTGATTGTTCAGTATCTTCGAGTATGGACACGTAGTGTTCCATAAGATTTTGATTGATAGAGAGGACTAGGGACCCATGATTTATGTTGGAGATAGAAAAAGGCAGTGGTTTTGGTCCAGTCCGAACCAGTCCAAGATCAGACTGGACCGTGCTGTTGGGCCCGTGGGGGCCCATCACGGGTCCCGTTTTGATAATCCGAATTGTTCAATGTGTAGAACTCGTCGAGTACTATATGCCTGTAAAAAATCACATTGATCGGATATCGATAGTTATGTGAACAAAACAGTTTTTTATCAACCGTTAATTGTTTCACCGTCCATTTTTTTTATACAAAAATGATTTGATCACATAGTTATTGATATCCGATCAACGTGATTTTTTATAGGCATGTAGTACTCGACGAGTTCTATACATTGACAGTTCAGATTATCAAAACGAGTCCAAAAAATGGGCCCCATGGGCCGAACTGGACGGGTCCAGTCTTGATCTCAACTTGAGACAAGTTGGACCTATAGAAAAATAACATGGAGTTAAGTAATTGATAATTGACTTGAAATATAATCACCTAATATTTTGAAATTATTAAATAATTTCTCATATATATATATATATATATATACACGCGCGCGCCCCGTTTGAAAAGCATTTTGGTCACGGACAACGCTACTTTTGGAGAATTTATATAAATAGCCGTCCAAAAGATGATGCGATGTAGACATTATTAAAATTTGGTACTCCCTCCGTTCCAAAATAATGGTCTCTTTTGGAGAATTCAATTTTTTTTGGTAGTACAATTATTGCATTTGAAAAAAGTTGATTTTCCAAAATTATCCTTTTGATAGTACATTTTTTGAGAATATCAATGCATAATTGTACTTTTTATGTTGTTTATTAATTTAAAAGAAGGGTAAAATAGGAAATTTATATTATTTTTGTACTTAATTTTTGAAGAATGACTAATATTTTGGGACAATGAAAAATAGAATAAGGGACTAATATTTTGGAACGGATGGAGTATTTGGATGGATTTTTGTTTCAAAGTGGTACTTCCACAGCTAACCCATATCAGTTTCTTTTTTTATTTTTATTTGAGTTATATAAAAAACAATAAAACTATGAACACAGAGGTCATACACAAAAAAATATAAAAAAATAAAATAATATGTGGTCTAAATTGAATTCTTTGGCCCACACTAAAATGAATTTAAAATACACATTGTTTTTTTTTTTATAGTATTTTTCTGTACATGAATTTTGAGTTCATAATATTGTTCTACCAATAAATATATACAAAATATTGTATAAAAGTTGTCAACTTATTAGTTTAAAATAAATAATTGTGGTAGATGATTTTGTATAAAAAATCCCCACTTTTCTGGTCACAATCATGTGGTAGATGAATTAGTGCAAAAATTCCTCATTCTTTTGGTCATTGATGGAGTAATAGAACAACCCCTGAATGACCGTCTGGTGACTGGCAAAGCTATGGCACCTTTCCAACAAACCACAAATACAATAGCCATTTGTTGGATAGAACAAGCAATCATCAACATTTGTTGAAGCTAATGGAGTCTTACTTACATTAAGGTCATGTTTATTTAGGCGGACTGAATTAGCATTTCTATGACTAATAGTCTTAGGATTACGAATTTGTTGGATTATGTAGCATATCTTAACTAATATTCAAGTTTAAAATAATTAATCCGTACTTAAATTGTTTAACCAAACATCGGATTAATAATTTTATTTGACTATTAGTCTAATTCCAAACTCATGTCCACCCAAACAAACATAACCTAAGGTTAATTATAGGACAAAATACTTGTGTGGGAGACGTGATTAAGATGGTAAAAGATATTTGTCTCTCTTTTCAAGACCTTAATTGGAATTTGTTTATAGGAATCCAATTGGTAATTAATTGCATTAATTTTAATTTTAGGAAACTAATTGATACTTTCAAGAAAATGTAGACTGCTAATTATTATTATTTTAAATACAAATAAAATCAAGAGGTACAAGCAGGAATTTTTATTTGAAATTATACTTTTGAGGAAAAAAAATTATCAATATATCTGGTTTTAGTTTTTTGAAAATTGAGTTTTTTTATTTTTCGTATTTTTTTTGTTTTTAGTAAATATTTTTAATATTTTAAGCATTTATTTTACTTTTTTAGATGTACCTTACTTAGATGTATCTATAAAGTAAAATATTTGTGAAAAAAATATTTTGCAAAATTAATAAATACATAAAAATATGAAAAATATATTGAATTTTTTTTTTTTGTATTTTTAGTATTTAGGGGTGGTTTGGGATGTTCTATATAAGTATACTTTTTGAATTTTTATGAAATATGGTTTGGATATGAATTAGGTTTGAAGTGATGTAGTAAAGAGGTGATGTAACTTAAATAGGATAGTGATTTTTTGACTTTTTTAGGTTATAACAAACAAGGCCTTAGTGATTTTTTTAAAGATTTTTTTTCATGAAAATTATAACTTTTAATTGTATTTATGTTAGGTGTACCTAAAATTTTTAAAAATTACTTAAAATATTAAAAAATTCGGTATAAAAAAAGAAAAAAAAAATTAAAAAAGTATTTTTAAAAATTTCAAACCAAACAAAGTGATCATCTTTTTGGGCAGTTGGTAATATGTTTGCCGCTTAACAAATTAGGTTAATACAATCCGGGCATTTGTTCATATCTGGAGGTACTACAATCACGAACAAGCGCATGATTTTAACTTTAGGGGCTGTGTGT